TGTATATAAATATACACACACCTTCACTCCATGTCCTTCCCCTCTCTGACACTTTACTTCTTCATGGAAATAGATACTGTTTCAAGTGTAAGCCCTACAAATACAGCTCTGAAGTCTATTCTTGCCATCAGTGACAGAGAATCATAAAATGTCTTGAGTTGGAAGGGACCCATAAAGATCACAGAGTCCAACTCCTCCATGATGGTATTCTAACTGTATGTTTTATCATTAAAAAAATGTGATCCTAAAACTTGATCTAAAGCTTGCAGCAAGAGCCTGGAACTCAGCTAATTACATCATTAATTAACGATGTGAGCTTGATGAGCTCACATCAAACCCATCTTACAGGAAACCAAATTATGTAAATTATTATTCATTCATGTTGGATTTTGTGCCAAATTTAGGTAAGCAGGAAGAGGAGCGGGGCACCTTCCAAATCTTCTGATTCATTCATACCTCCTACAGAAAGGAGAATTTCCTGGGAACACTTACCAATAAAGGATGGCTGGAATAAGGTTTCAGGGCAGCGGAAACGTTCGTTACCAATTGTGATCACTTGACCATCAGGCAATTCATAGCTTTTCTCCAGAGAGGAGGAAGAGGCAGCAGTGGCCATTTCATTCTCAAAGTCCAGTGCAACATAGCACAATTTCTCTTTGATGTCACGAACAATCTCACGTTCCGCTGTAGGTACAGGAGAATCAAATCAAGCTTTGGATAAGCACAGTACTAGGGAAGATGATCAGCCAAGAGAGACGTGAGGATTTTCACAGCAGAGAAAAGCTGAAGCACTGACCTGTTGTCACAAAGGAGTAGCCACGCTCCGTGAGGATCTTCATGAGGTAGTCAGTCAGATCCCTGCCAGCCAGATCCAGACGCATGATAGCATGAGGCAAGGCATACCCTTCATAAATAGGCACATTGTGGGTGACACCATCTCCAGAATCAAGAACAATACCTGGGAGAGAAATGTCACAGAGCAGTTGGGATCACCTAACGAATGCTTAGAGCCCTTACACACAGGAAGCAGCAAGTAACACAACAAAATAAAGGATTTTTCAGGTAGTATAAAGTAGCATAATTCTTTTTCAGACACAAAGATCTTTCCAATTCTTTCTGCCTTTGCTTGCATGGACATTCCTGAGAGGTGTGAATTTTCACACAGAATAGTTGTTCCATACATATTTTAAGATAATCCATAAAACCAGTCTTCCTCTGCTACTACACCGAGCAGTAAGAGTATCTGCAATAGTGACTGTCTTGGTCTGATAACGGGCACCTTCATGTCCAGTTTAAACCCTTAAACTGGTGTAACAATTTTGTATCTGCAGTATCCCCACAGGAATGTCTCATTTGCACCACAACAAGCAGTGGCACAGTCAGTTCCATGGGGCCTCTCCGAAAGCAATGCAAATTGTCTGTGGAAAGAACAACGTGGACCTATTTTGTACAGGCTTTTATGCTACTGTTATTGTTAATTGCTATAAACCAAAAAGACCTATTTTTCTGTAAATTGAATGAGTTATGGTGTGTTTTCCTATTTGGAATGGAAAGGAGGGAGAGTTCCTGAAAGGAAATGAAACAGTATCTAAACAGTGTTTATTTGTTTGTTTTACCTGTTGTACGACCAGAAGCATACAGGGACAGGACAGCCTGGATTGCCACATACATAGCAGGTACATTGAAGGTCTCAAACATTATCTGGGTCATCTTTTCACGATTAGCTTTGGGGTTCAAGGGGGCTTCTGTGAGCAAAGTAGGGTGTTCCTCAGGGGCCACACGGAGTTCATTGTAGAAAGTGTGGTGCCAGATCTTTTCCATATCATCCCAGTTGGTGATGATGCCGTGTTCAATTGGGTATTTCAAAGTAAGGATACCTCTTTTGCTCTGAGCTTCGTCACCCACATAGGAATCTTTTTGACCCATACCAACCATAACACCCTAAGAGAAGAAAACACAGAAAAGCATTATTTGAGGAAGACAACATCACAGAGCCCAAACAACTACATCACAGACAACTGGCCAGAAGCTGAGTCAGGAGAGGTTTAGGCTGGATATTAGAAAAAGGTTCTTCACTCCGAGGGTGATTTGGCACTGAACAGGCTCCCCAGGGAAGTGGTCACAGCACCAACCTTGACAGGGTTCAAAAAGAATTTGGACAACTGCCTCAGGCATATGGTGTAACTCCCAGAGCTGTCCCATGCAAGGACTTTGATGATCCTTGTTGGTCCCTTCCAAGCCAGGATATTCTACGATTCTGCAATTCTAACTATCTTATTTTCAAGAAAGGTACAAGCAGTCACACCCCTGAAAGGCTGTTCAGGAAAATAAATTTAACATTACTAAAATATTAAGTCAACAAAATCTGAGGTGTTCTCATAAAATATTTTTCTCCTTCCATTAATGGATTTTTCCCCTTTTGTAAAACACCTCTTATATTAATATTCTTTTTTTCTTATTTGTTTCTTTCTGATTTCCAAAAATTTGACTGAAAATAAACTGCACAATATTATGAGCAGGAAAAGGAGTTTGTAAACAGGACAATACAGAGGGAAATCAGCATTCTACCGATCAAAGATACTTCATATTACTATGCAACATTAGCAGTAATTTATCTAGGATTAAAAAAAAATACAAATCGTAAATGTTTTCATTAAAAACCCATTTTCTATGGAGTGTCCTGCCTCGGTCCTGCCTCTGAATTTACCTGGTGCCTTGGGCGACCGACAATGGACGGGAAAACGGCCCTGGGAGCATCGTCCCCGGCAAAGCCCGCCTTGACCAGCCCCGAGCCATTGTCGCACACCAGTGCGGTGGTTTCCTCGTCGTCACACATCTTCGGAAGGAAGCACGAACCTGGAAAACAGCACGGCGGCACGCTCAGAGCCCCGCGGGCAGCCCTTCCGCGCCATCCCGGCGGGCACGGCCGGACGGCTGCGGCGGGAGCGGGAAATTCGAGTCGTCCCGGGAGGATGCTCGAGGCTCGTGGGCAGGGCTCTAAACGGGATCCATCAGCCGCTTTCTTCTCCGCGCTTTAAAAGCCGCCCCAGCTTGCAAGACGCTCAATTAGGGCGTCATTGGCGGATCCCTCTGGCCGCAGATCTCAAAGGGAGGGAAAGCTTTTTAAACCGCAGGGATCTGTCCTGCCCAGAGCGCCTCGGGGCGAAGCGGCCGATGCTACGCGGGGGCGGACGGGCGGGCGGTGTCCCCGGCAGCAGCAGCGCTCCGCCGGGAGCTGCACGGCCCGAGCTCCGGGCGACCGGCGTCCGCCGCCCGGTGGTGCCTTCCGTCCATCCTTCCCGTGTATTAGCTCCCTCCCATGTATTCCATCCCGTGCCGTCCCGTCCCGTCCCACCCAAAGCGTCCCGTCCCGCCCCTCGGGGCTGCGGGTGCTGCCGCGCTACTCACCAGACCAGCACCGGCGGCGGGGCGGGCAGCGGAGGAGACCCTGGCTGCTGGCTCGGCGGAGACGCCCCGATTTATACCCCCCGAGGGGCAGCGTCGCCCGGGGCCGCGGCGGGCCGGGGCAGCCACCTTGTCCTTATTTGGTCGGCTCCGCGCCACTGAGCGGCCGCGCAGCCATGAATGGAGCCGGGCCAGCCCCGGCGCGGCGCGGCCGCCCGGCCCATGTAAGGCAGGCGCGGGGCAGCGCGGCCCCGGCCGCCGCATGGCCAAATAGGGAACCCAGCGCAGCCCCCGGGGGTCAGCGCCGCCGGGCAGGGGCTGCGCTGGGGCCGGGAAGGGGCCGCCGCGCCCGCAGCCCCGCTCGGCCCCCGCGGTCAGCGGCCGCCGGTGCCCGGCCAGGTGCGGCGCCTCAAACTCGTGATGCTCGGGCTAGGCGGAGGGTGCGAGGGAAGCCGCGCGGGTGTTCTCTCCCCCGGCTTTTCATTTTTCCGCCGAAAAGAAAAGGCCAGTCGAGCTTCTGTTTAATCGAGTGATGAGATTACTTCGGTGCCAACAACTGAGGCTCCTCTCTGCACGGGGGTGGCATCTGCTCTCTATGTCGCCTTAGGAAGGAGCGGTACACACTCAATTTCTTTTAAACTTTGATGATCACATGCTGCAAAAATCACCCTTTTCTCTGCTTTTGGCTGACATCTATGGTGCAAAATGGAATGTATTCACTTATGTTAAGATGCATACACTTAAACTCCTCATATTTGCTCTTTTAATGCACACCAGATCATTTATATGTAATATGTCTAGGGCAGAGGACGAGATATGGAAATAGCTTGGACAAAACCCAGCTATGGTATTAATGTAATGTGACAGTTGTTTTCCTGCTCAGTTGTTGAAACATCCACATTGATAATTTGTTCCAGCGGTGAAACCTAGAAAATCCATGTGTCTTCAGGACTTTTTTTTTTTTGTTTGTTAAAAATAGAAAGACTGGAGAGGCATCCCTTGAGTGGGTTTGGCCTGGTATGTGAAAGCAGAGATTGTCAACTCATGTCCCAGAGAAACTCATTATAATGTGGAGTACAGTGTCCTCCAGGAGCTCATCTTGTAAAATGCCCCATGTCCGCCTGTGAAACAATGCTAGGACGGAGTGAATTGAGGTTTGGGACAGGAGGGAATGGTGAGATTCAAAGTCAAGAGAGGATCACCCAAGTGGATCAGCTGTTAAACACAGGTCCAGTTTATGAGATGCCATACAAAGGCTGGCAGACATCACATGGGTGTATACATCTTAAATTATGTGGAAGGAAAGAGCTTGTGAATGCTACACAACCTGCAGTCTGGGGGCTTTGAGAAGTGTTCACAGAAGAGCAATCTGCACGGTGGTTTAACTCTGACAAAGCACATAACAACTGGAAGTCATTATTTGTTTCTAAACGATATCCAAAGGGGGCATCAGAGACCCTCAGACTTTGATTTCTTCTGAAATCAGAGATTGTGGAATCAGTTTCCTTTTTTCTAGCACAATTAATGAGGTGGTTAGCTCCACCCCAACCCATGTATCTTGGGTTTGTGCCAAATTATGAGCACAGCTCTGAAAGAGATGTAGCAGCAAACTTCTTGGATAAGCTCCTGCTTTTCTTTAAATGTTGTGAGGAAAGAGAACCTGTTCCAGGTGAGACACCATTTTTGTACAGAGTTGTGTATGTACATTTAATACATCAGTATATATAAATATGTATGCCCATATATATTTTACATAAGCATGTATTTATCTGTGTGTGTATGTATTTATTTATATATTGCTTTTTTGTTTTTCTTAGCAACCTAAGAAAGGCTGTGTAGGACTGTGAAGTGCAGTGACCTCAAAAGGTCAAAGCAGCAAAACACTGTGATTCAATGCCTCTGCTCTGGACAAGCTTTAGCTCTGTTTGCTTTGTCTTGATGGAAAATCAACCAAAATCAATACTGGTGGGATAAGGATCCCAAGCAAGTATATGTTTATCTAAATTGATCAGGGCCACGTAACAGACACTTGGAAATACTTTGGTGGTAGCGATGCCTGTTTATACAAGAATTCATACAGATGCAGGGATTTCTAAGCACATACACCCTGGCACACAGCATCCTTTCAAAGAAAAAAACCACCATATGTTGCTTTCAGTTTTAAAAAGTCAGCATATTTTACCCCATGGTAAGTTGCCATATATAGTTTAAATCTGCTTCTTTTTTTTTTTTTTTTTTTTTTTTCCCTCGGACATCTTTTCTACAGAAACCATATAATGTGAGGGATTGACCAGCTTTGCCAGCACTAGAGATTAGTTTACAGTGTTATCTCAGCTGTTGCTTGGTTCAGAGGTGTTGCAGTATTTACATAGAAGTCCAATGCTGATAGCTGCATTGAATTCCTCCCCAATCAGACCCTCTCTGACACATCCTACATTCCCTCTGGCTAGAGAGAGACAGACTCTGCTGCAACTGTGACAGAGCCAGCTCTCACTGAAAAATCTATGGAACAGTTTGTATTTTCTTGTTTACTGCCTAACTAAATTTTTGCTGTCTCTACTATCTCCTCAAGTTTTACATTTCTAATCCAGCAGGACTCACAGTTAGGATCCCGGTGCTCTTGGGAACTCATCAGTCCACACACCAACACACTCCCATATATTGCAAGGTCAAATGAAAAGGGCACCACACAACGTACATAATTCCAAAATATCATTTCCTTTCTTGTAGCCACTTGAAAATTGCCCAGCTAAAGTTATTCCTTAGGCCGAAATAATTCTGCTTTCTGCAATAAAGTGTCATCACAGACTCAAGTAAACCAGAGAAGCAAAAACCTGCTTGAGGTATGTTATGCAATGTCATCTGCAGGAATAACACTCTAGCTCTGACTGACCAGGGCCCCCACATGCTGTGAACATTTCTCATGACTTAGCTGTTGGGAGTGACCCCAGGGACAAGGGAAACACAGGCTGTACAGGGTGTTGGAGAGCAGACAGATCTGCAGTGGACGTGATCTGCATGTCCCTAGAACAGCCTGAAAACACAGAAGCATGAAGCCTCAGTGTGTTATTAATGATTATTAATAGGAGCGCAAAATTATATATATGTATGTCTGTATATATATAGAGAGATATATATATAGGAGACACATGCATATAGGCAATACTGGATGTGTTGTTCAACCAACAAGACACTGTTGTGGCTGCAGCCAAAATCAGAACATGAGTCCTTACCACTCATGGTCAAAAATCACATTGTGATCTTTTGATGCCTAGAAATCCTCACAACTGCATGGTAAAAAAAGTGAACCTCTGCATGGTAAAAAATCACATTGTGATCTTGTGATGCCTAGAAATCCTCACAAATGCTATTCATCTTTTGACCAAAAAAAAAAAAAATACAAACACTTAAAAATATAGCCATGATTCTTTAAAAGCTTTAAAGCATAGAACACTTATTACAACAGACTTCAGATTATTTACAGTATTTAGCAATGCATTCAGAAATTCAGCCTTTCAGTTTATGATTTTTTTCCTGTAAATTTCCCAATAAAAGCAATAAATTTTTCAAAATATACCAAACAATTTTATATACAGTACATCCTGACCTATCAGATTCTACAGCAACTTCTCACTTAAAATCACTTTTTTCTAAATCCAATGGATGTTGACATATAAAATCTGTCCTAGCACAGAGCCAAATGTTACCTCTCTTAAGCCTCAGGCCAGTGTAGTCTTTGAAAAAAACTTAACATTTTAAAGAATAAGAAGAAAATGCCATTCTGACAGGTTTTCTTTTGTCTCTTTTGTCTCACAACAGCTGTTTGGAGCTATATGGTCTTTAGAAATATAAGCAGCATTGCAGCAGAGTCTTGTTGATGGGCAGAAGTCCTGATGAGATAAGAATGCCAAACATGCAATATATGATGAAAATCACTGTCATGAAGGAGTCACTGTCACGAAGGAGCCATGTGTTGTTATCAATGTCTGTGCAGTTATGAATCTCCCTGTGTATGCAGACATACCAAGAGAAGCCAGAGAAGACAGTTCTGCAGTCACCACAAATTCCCTATGAAACTGGTGAAGTCTTGAACCTTCCAAATGAGAAATCTTTCTCCTAGAAGAGTTACCCAGTTTAATAATTACATTGTCTGGTAAACTTTTCCAGAGAATTTACTGGGTGTTCACCTCTCTTAGTTATGTCTCATCCACCCTACTAGCCCATGTTTCATGCTTTATATATTCCTTGTCTCCTTAGCATTTAAACCCTTGGCATAATTGCAGGCTCTTATCATCTCCCTGCGAGTCTCTCTCACTCACTCACGTGCTGCTGCACTTCTATAATTAACCTAAAGCATCTTAAGTGTGCGCTGAAAGGGTAAAATCATGAGGTGGGCACTGGGAGTCAGACGTGCAGCTAAAACTTCTTGTTCTGAAGCTGACAGGTTTAGGCACGGGGCAGCATGAGTGGCAGTCAAAGGAGTTTGTTTTTCTAAGTCTCTCACTCTCCAGGAGTATTGTTTGCCACATGTCAGTTCCAAAGAAAGGATGAGATTCTTACACCCATTCTGCACCTCTGCTATGAGGAAAAGCTGAGAGAATTGGGAGTGTTCAGCCTGGAAAAAGGAAGGCTTTGGCGTGACCTAATTGTGGCCTTCCAGTACCTGCAAGTAGCCTACAAGAAAAATGGAGAGGGACTTCTTACAACGGCCTGGAGTGACAGGACAGGGGGGAATGGCTTCACATTGAAAGAGAGTAGATTTGTATTAGGCATTAGGAAGAAATTATTTTAATTTCAAACTAAAGGACCTTGAATCTACCAGCTGCTGCAAAGTAAGGTGAAAGTATCCAGATTGTTTCTCAGCTGCCTTTCAGTTTTCCAGAATCAGAGGCAGATGTCTCATGATTACAACAAAACCAGCAATTTAACAGTCTATTATAGTTGCATTCTCACTAAAGAATTACCCTTTAATAGAGGAAACCATCAAATACTTGCTTTTCTCTTAACCTTTCTGCATGCATTTGCTTATGCTGTGTGTGAAAGCACACATTTCTTAATCTGCATAGGCTAAGGAGAGAAGGAAATGACGCTTTAGAGCTGAGAAGCTAAGCTTCAGCATGATGAAGCCACCCTGGAAATTGGCAGTTTCTGTAAGAATTGAATCCTGCTCCCGAAGACCAGTTCTGCCATAGAATAAGAAGCACTCCATTGCTCTCAGATATGAGTACATAAGATTTTCTGAATCTGTGGTCTGTGCAGAGAGTTTGCTTTGCCACAATTCATAGATATATCTTTCTGAAGAAATGTTGTGTTACAAGACCCATGGATTCTGCTGATGATATAAGGAAAACAAATATATTTGATGAGTCTTAAAAAATTGCAATGCTTCCCACATACAATTTTGCAAAGCTTTGAGATGATTTTGATAAAAACATCTCAGTTATTAACAGAGGGTTTAGCTGCACTGTGTTACATGGAGTTGAAGTAAGTGGATTCAGGTGTAGAACCAGATGATGCAGAGACTGGCTTGGAAATTTCTTTAAAAATTCTTTATCTTGCTAAAAAAACCAAAGCTCCAACAAAATACATTTACCCCAGAAGTTTGCTACTCCATTTTTCAAAGAATGGTCTCAAGTCAGCTCATTTTACTTTCTTACAATTTAAAAAAATCCACAAAGCCACAGATTTACTTCATAGAGGAACACTATCCAAATTATGAAGAAAAACATTTATTTGATGGGAACTATTTTTTCCCAAATTTTGTTTCTAAGTATGTTGATATTTTTGTCCCCCAGACAAATTCAGTAGAAAAATTATTTTTGTCTCACTGTTTTCAAAAGATGAAAAATTATCTCAAATGTAACAGTTTATTAAGCAAAGCTAAAACTCTAATAACCAAAAAAAAAAAAAAGAAAGAAAATTCTCTGGAATCTTGGTGACCATCAGATTCCCTTGAAAATTGAGCAATTATCAATTAAGCAACTGGCTACAAGATTGAAGAAGCTTCCACAAGGTTACCTTATAAAGAGAGTTTATGTAATAAAAAAAATTCTTATAAGAGTAAGTTCATATATTGTGATTGCGTATCATGTTACAAATGCAAATTGTATCCAACTTGATAGTAAGAGAGATAGAGAGACTGGGAGACAGAGAAAGCATAATTCAAAAATCTACACTCACCAGGGAAGGAATCGTTATGTAATGTGGGTTTCTTTTCCTGAATTTTCAGGAACCACAAATTTTGCTTTCATAGGGAACCTATAATATGGCTACCTTTTTTGTGCAGGTTTGGCTTAGGCTTTTTACCAGATTTTATCAAACAATCGTTACTTGCATAGTGTGTTTTATAAAGAACACACAAATATTTACACAATCAGTATCTTACAATGAGCTGTCTTCAGTAATGCAATCTTAACTCCAATCCAGAATTTCCATAATATATTCAGTACAACTAATAAGAATCCCTAGCAGACTGACATTTTTCATTTTAACAATAAAATATATGTGCAACATTTTAACAGTACTGACAGACTTTTAACATCTCAGAGAGCATATTTTAAGTTACTCCTATTAAGTACCTACAGGTTAAAAAACCAATACCACAACAAAAAATCAGAGTGAAATCAGAATAGCAAACCCATATTTTAAACCATTATAGAATGCTTGGTGATGGGAACAATCTCAGTGGACTAAAAGGGGATTACGTCGAGGGTTTAATAACTTTCTAAATAGTGGGAAATATTTTCTACCAGTCCTTATTTTGTCACTTACTTATTCAAAGTCCTAACTACAGAAAAAATATAAGTGAGGGTATTGGTTCCACCTGCAATATGTGAGAATTTGTTTCTGAACAAATTCTCCTTTTTCTTGCTAAAAAGCCCTGTTTTATGCAAGACTAAGCATTGCCAAGGTGTCATTAACATGATAGAAAGTGGAGACTTTCTGAGTTAATTGTAGAACAGAATACTGGATTTCCAAGGTATTGGAATACTTTATTTGAGGTACTGTCTTCCTTAACATAGGAAGTTATGTTACTGGCTCATCAAACTTAATAATTATTTATGCTTGCTACAAAGGTGTCTAAAATTCAAATTTCATTTAGCATTTTGTATAAAGTTGTCCAGTTTGTACTGCAGGTAGGAGTCGTAGACAGCAGCAATAGAATTTTTCATTTAAAATACTGTTAAGGCATAGCTAAAATTTCTATTGATTGTCATTCATCCAGTAAAGAATTGACAAACAGGAACTATTCTAAGCTTGGGAGCAATGATCCGCTGCAGGTGCGGGTTTGACTCCTTGCAAAATCCTGGAAAACTTCTGGGAAAAAAGAGTCAAAATTGAAAGGTTAAATGCATATTCAAGGAGCAGGTAATGTATCTAAAATCTCAGTAATTCAAGATCAGAGAAAGTACCAGATGGAAATCAGTAAAATCTCACTGGAAAAAGTTCATCATTTAAGTCAGCTGGGGAAAATGTTGCTGAAAACACAGTTTTAATAGGTTGCCTTAAGCATAGTAGATGTTCAGGGGAAAAAAAAGAAAGGTCAATTCAATGGTACATAAAGCAATTATTTCCCCATAAAATATTTTCGAAAATAATACACATAGTACAACCAAAGGCAGTGACCACAAGGAAAATCTAAATGTTTTCCTACTTTGCAAAATGGTATCTAAACTACCAGGCCACGAGGTTGCCCTCAGAGGAATGGCTCTCATGAGAAGCAGCTGTTTCCCAGTGCCAAAATGTCTTGTCTTGGATTATGTTGTCTTCACGGCATAGCTTGACATGAAGAAAATTTCTAATATATCATACTGCATTTCAAAATGAGATAAAATGGCCTTAACAAAGGATTCAGCAAAAACTAGTAAAAAAGAGCAGTTACTTGCTGAGGGTTCCAAGCCATCTCACATATTGCAGGTGGAACCAACACACCTACGCCAATTCTCTAGACTCCTGCTGAGTGAGAGGCAACTAAGAATTAGGTATGCAGCACCTCCAACCTTCCTTACATTTAGCACTCTACACATATTTTTTTGAAAATAACAATTAAAATCTATGATGCTTTCAAAAATGATACCATTTCTTTTTAAAGCTAAAGGTCTTAAATACAGAATCTCTACTGAAATGCAAATTTTGTTAAAGCTTTTGGAAACTGAAAAGAAATACTTTGTCTTCTGTAAGACTCATCTGCATTGCTGCGTCCTTTCTTCTGTCATTCATGGTCAAGCTGATTCCCACGAGGACCCTATGATAACTCAGATGGAAGCTCTCTAAATGGCTGCTGTGAGAATTAAACCATTGCATGCAGAATGCAGGTTCTAAGTACTCCAGTCCAAGAAAAATGGGAATAAACTCCGGAAATTCTCAAACATGATATGTTTGAGAGCAAATCTTTAGAAGAAAGCTTAAGGAGTTCATAAAAACTGCACCAAAATTCTTACTAACTCTCACTGAATTTATTGGCTTTGGAATAAGCCCAAGAAGAATTGTCTAGGGTATATTGCTTTCCTATCAATTTAAGAAGGACATAACAACTATTTATAGTTAAATAGAAGGCATTAGGATAAAGAAATATTTGTTTGATAGAAATATAACTAGCGTATTTACTCTGGCCATTAATTATGAAACATTGTGTACCCTACAAAACTGTTAATTTAGGTTGTCACCTTGAAAGGATACTGGAAGAGTTCAAACCACAGCAGAAACTGCACTATTCCTATTGAACTAAGCAACTGACAGATTATTGTGCTGAGTCAATTTCCATAATACCAGGAAGAAAATGCATTTCCATACAAGCTACAAGCACAAAATAAATTCAAGATTACATAAATAATAGGATGAATATTGAAAATATCGTGTCTAAATATACTCTGAAAATTTCAGCTGGCCTGGAAGCATATACACTAAGAAGCATATAAACTAAATGAGGTCTCAAAGCCTG